AAATGCAAATTAAAACCACAATGAGATATCACCTCACACCAGTAAGGATCACCACCATCCAAAAGACAAACAACAACAAATGTTGGCGAGGTTGTGGAGAAACGGAAACCCTCCTACACTGCTGGTGGGAATGTAAATTAGTTCAACCATTGTGGAAAGCAGTATGGAGGTTCCTCAAATTGCTCAAAATAGAATTGCCATTTGGCCCAGGAATTCCACTTCCAGGAATTTACCCTAAGAATGCAGCAGCCCAGTTTGAAAAAGACAGATGCACCCCCATGTTTATTGCAGCACTATTCACAATAGCCAAGAAATGGAAGCAACCTAAGTGTCCATCAGTAGATGAATGGATAAAGAAGATGTGGTACATATACACAATGGAATATTATTCAGCCATAAGAAGAAGACAAATCCTACCATTTGCAACAACATGGATGGAGCTAGAGGGCATTATGCTCAGTGAAATAAGCCAGGCAGTGAAATAAGATAAGTACCAAATGATTTCACTCATATGTGGAGTATAAGAACAAAGAAAAACTGAAGGAACAAAACAGCAGCAGAATCACAGAACCCAATGGACTAACAGTTACCAAAGGGAAAGGGACTGAGAAGGATGGGTGGGAAGGGAAGGATAAGGGCGGGGAAAAAGAAAGGGGGTATTACAATTAACATGTGTAGTGGGGTGGGGGCACGGGAGGGCTGTGCAACACAGAGAAGACGAGTAGGGATTCTGCAGCATCTTACTATGCTGATGGACAGTGACTGTAATGGGGTTTGTTGGGGGGACTTGGTGAAGGGGGGAGCCTACTAAACATAATGTTCTTCATGTAATTGTAGATTAATGATACCAAAATAAAAAAATAAAAAAGGCACCTTTGTCCATTTGCAACAACATGGATGGAGCTAGAGGGTATTATGCTCAGTGAAATAAGCCAGGTGGAAAAAGACAAGTATCAAATGATTTCACTCATATGTGGAGTATAAGAACAAAGAAAAAACTGAGAGAGCAAAACAGCAGCAGACTCACAGAACCCAAGAATGGACTAACAGTTACCAAAGGGAAAGGGACTGGGGAGGATGGGTGGGAAGGGAGGGATCAGGTGGGGGGAAGGGGGCATTATGATTAGCATGTATAATGTGTGTGGGGGCACGGGGAAGGCTGTATAACACAGAGAAGACAAGTAGTGAATCTACAGCATCTTACTACGCTGATGGACAGTGACTAATGGGGTATGTGGGGGGGACTTGGTGATAGGGGGAGTCTAGTAAACATAACGTTCCTCATGTAATTGTAGATTAATGGTACCAAAAAAAAAAAAGACATGACTAATTAATGCCACTGAGGGTTTTTTTCCTATCAGTCATAATACAATTTATAGATTCGGCATATAAACCAGAAAAAAAAAAAAAAAAGGCACCCTTGTTTCCTCCCGGGTACCAGGGACATAAGGGAGAGTCGAAACAGCCGCTGCCCCCTTGGAACTGACAGTCCAGTGCAGTAGGCACTAGACTATTGGAAGAATCACAGAAATACTGAAAGATATCACACTCCAAAGTCAAGATTCTCAATAGGATACATAAAAAGAAATTCACACTTGACATGCCTTAATAAACTGGGAAGACAAAACAACAGAAAATCTTAAAAGCAGCCAGAGGGAAAGAGAGGTCACTAACTTTCAAGGGAACAAGTATTAGTAGACTAGCAGTCAGAACACAATGAAACTCTATTAATGTGTGGAAGGAAAACAATCTAGAATTATACCCTTTGTAACAATACCCCTTCAAGAACAAATAGACATTTCCAGATTAAAAAAAAAAATACAAGGAAATTCATTTCCAGACATTTCTATATAAACAAAACCCAAGGAAACTCAGAAAAGGAAGGAATGGTGAGCAAAAGAAAAAGGTAAATCTGTAAGCAGATCTAAAGAATATATATTGATAATGTGTTGTGGGGTTTTAAATATATTAAAATACACAAATACAAGGACAAAGAAAAAAACTGAAGGAGCAAAACAGCAGCAGACTCACAGAACCCAAGAATAGACTAACAGTTGGGAGAACACATGAGTTGGGAGGAGGATAAATATATTCTAAGGTCTTTGATTTAACCTGGATGAAGGTGAAAAGCAGCGATTAATAAAGTGCTAAATCATGAGCAGTATGCTGAAATATGGAGTAGTAAAGAAAAGATGACTTCCAAATTAGCAAGAAAAATACAGCAATAAAAAGAATCCAGTAAAAGGTAAAAATTAATATTAAGCACAATGTAGGTGGCACAAACAGCACAATGGGAGATTTAAACACCAAACACCAGTAATTTCTGAATGGATTAACTGCCCACATTACGGACTACACGTGTATTTACCTCTTCACCACCCAGTTTCCTTGGACTAACATCGCCACCTTCTGGATGCCACGCAGAACTGCCACGGAGTCGATGGAGGGGCCCAGGAGGCTCATCAAGTTGGCAAAAGGCATGACCTTCACTGAGGAGGACGCGGGAGATAGCAGGAGACATCGGACAATCAGACAAGGGATGAAAGGCCCTTCCCTCAAGCTCACATGATAACCCAAGCATGTGAATAACGACAGCGTGAGTAACTGTTAACAGCTCACACTCAATGGCTGCTTACTGAGTGTGCATCTCACTGAGTCCTGGAGGAAAGACCCCAAAGGAAGAAAGCCTGAGGAAGAAAACTCTTACCACTCAGGCCCAGAAAGGTTTCAAAGCCCACCTGTGAGCACTTGGCTAGTAAGTGGCAGAGGCAGGATTCGAACCCAGACCATCTTGAACCAGAATTCAATCTCATAGCCACTGTGCTCTGCTGACCCACAACCACCTGAGGCTCCAGCCCAAGAGAGCACGGCTGGGGCTGGGGAACGTCCACGGTGCTCTGCAGGAAAGCCAGCGGCCTGGTCCCCTGGCAGCCCAGGCCCAGCAGGGAGCTCCCCTCTCTACTCAGACCCCACAGACCCCTGAATTGGCATCTCAGAGGAAGAGGCCAGGGCCTGGGATCAGCTTGAGGTCCAAGGTTCACATCTGCCCCAAAGGTTCTGGCCCCAAGCCCTCTAAGAAAAGGAGACCAGTCTCTACTGGGTGGAGCCTGGTGAGGGTGACACAACATGCAGGCAGAGGCCTCATCCCCGTACATCCCCATCTCAGCCCCCAGGAGCAATTTGAGTCCCCTTTTATAGACAAACTAGGGCCCAGGAAGGTCAGTGAGCTGCCGCAGCTCACCCAGCAGGGGCGTGGTGGGGGCAGCAAGGAACTGGAACCTGTCTGGGGAAGCCTGCCCGCCACTGCAGAGCCTTCCTCCCAGTGGACGGAGTTGTAAAGCTGGGCAGGCTCTGGGCAGCAGGGGCCTCTGGCCACGTGCCTTGGTCCTCAGCCTGTCCCAGACTCCATTTCCCCAGGAGGCGGTAGGGCTGGGAGGCCATCCAGACCACCCACCATTCTTCATCAGGATCTTGATCTGATCGGCCAGGGGCAGGGTGCGCAGCTGGGCCATGGACAGCACATTGCTGGGGGCCACGGGTTTGTCTCTGTTGAAAACAAAGGTGATGGTTTAGAGGAAGTGGAGAGGGGGCGTGGGGTCCAACCCACCTCTACTCACTTCTCCTCTTCCTGGCTGGGTGGCATCAGCATCATGAGGTACTCGCTGCGGGGGGAGAGGGTGAGTCAGCAGCTCCCGGGGCCCTGTCCCTGCCCCGCCCCTGCCTATGTACCCAGGCTGCAGCCTCCCAGTGAGGGATGGATAGACGCTTGTCCCCAAACCCCCCCAAACCCCTGCAACTCACAGAGAAAGGAGGGCCATCTCTTCTCGCACCCACCCTCCTGGCCTTCTCTGGAGGGTAGTGGGCCCTCTCCCGTGTCCCTCCCCAACGGGCACAGTCCCCGGGGCCAGTGTCAGGCCCCGCAGCCCCCAGGACTGAGGATGCTGGCTGGGCCAGTCCCACCTGGGCGACTTGACAAGCTCCGTGTTCTCCACCCCGCTGGAGCTCTGGCACAGCAGGTACTGGCGCTCATGCTCAGAGCGGCTGTCCTGTTGGGAGGGGGAACCTCAGCTGCCGCCCCAGGCCTATGTCCCCAAGCCCTCTGCCACCCACAGTTCTCACCCCTGCATCACCCTCTATTCCAGCCCCACACTGTCCTGCCCCAAGGCTGGCCACAAGATCACGTCCAGCCTCCTGAGCTGGACGCGATCCTGTGACGTGGCCTCAACCAGCTACGGCTCTGGCTTTATGACTACAGCACCAGCACCATGCCTCGACGCCTGCCTGTGATACAGGAAGACTAAGGGCAACGATAAAAATAACATCTAACATTCACTGAACACCTACTGTGTTAGGCTCTGTTCCAATGGCTGTATATGTACATCAAGTCACCTCATCTTCAAAATAACTCTAGATGAAGTCAGGGACTATTATTATTATTATTCCCATTTTACAGAAAAGCAAACAGGCTCAGAGAGGTGAGGTAACTTGCCTAAGGTCACACACTAGGAAAGAGCAGACCTTCTGGATGCCTGACCCTGAGACTAAGGCCCTGTCAACACAAATCTCTTTTAGGAAGTTTCCAGAGAAATCAGGAGTTGCTTCTCCCTGAGAAAAATGTTGGAAAGCCCTAGGCTACGGTGTCTTTGTGAGCTCAATACACTCAATACACAGCTTCAAGGATCAGGTTCTAAGGCAACACAGGAGATGAAAACTGAGTAACAACTGCCCTTGGCAGGCACATGGTGAGCTCAGTCATGGAACAGATGGACCATTCTCCTTGGAGTGCCTTTGTTTGAGACCATGATGCACAAAAATATGTCCCCACACCAGCCCCATGCCGAGCCCAGCAGGATGCTTCCACCGTGGGGGCACTACAACCCCCCTACGCAGGGAGATGGCAGGATAGGGATGCCTGCAACCCCTTCTAGGGGGACAGCAGACTCACTCCTCAATCTCACGCGCCCTCGGGGGCACACCCCACGTGGAATGGCTGGAGCAGAGAACAGGCTGCCCACAGGGCTTTACACCTCTCCTGTGGAGCCACCAAGGCCCTGCTGGCCCATGAGCTCAGAAAGCAGATGAGCTCACCCGCAGGCCGTAGTAGTGCAGATGGACCCAGGGCTCCTCGGCATGCTTCTTCTGCAGGAATTCATAGGACTGCACGCGGCGCTGGCGGGCCTGCTCCGACTCAGGCCTAGAGAAGCGTACCTGGGAGTTGGGGTGGGGGGGGTCACAGCCTCAGACTGGGACCCTTCCTGGGCTACTGCCCCAGTGCCCACCAGCAGGCCAGGGTACCCCATCTAGGGTCTTCCCGCTCCCACCTCCCTTCATTTCCCAACACAGGTCTTTAAAATTCAGTTCCAACCATGTCCCTCTCTGGGACCCAACAGGCTGGGGAGCACCTTTCCCTTGCTTCTGCGTGCCCAGCACCCAATCCATTTCTACTCCCACTAGTCACAGTGCCCCCATTTTCCTTTGGGAAGACTCCCAGTTTCCCTTCAGTCTGGGGAGATAATACCCCACCCCCTGCCCCCATCCCCCCAGGTTCCCAGCTCAGGAGTGGTCATGTGACTCAGACCTGGACAATCTGAGCACCAAATCCTCTTAGCCACAGGGGCTGGTTCAGGGTTGGCCAAGCCAATGAGTCCAGTCTGGGGACTTTAGTTAGAAGGTATGAGAAAGAAGTTTCTTTTCCCCTGGGGTCTTGGAAACTGGGAAGATGTGAGCCTGGAGCTGGGACAACTCTCTGTACCACTGGGGACAGACACCCTGCCTGAGAAAGGGTCCACAAAAGGAAGACAGAACCTGGAGATGGAGATGGAGAAACCAGGTCTCAATGACAGTCTGAACACCTGAATTCAGCCATTCCTGAAGCTACCCTTCAACTTTTCAGTAACATTCCATTTGTGGCTCAAGCCTGGGGATCTGGGTTTCTGCTGCTCAGAGTCCAGATGGAGCCAAGCCCTGACTCACCTCTCCTGTGACTGGCACCTGGTCCAGGGGCGGTGGCAGGGTTACAGAATCCTGTATTCTCTACAGGGCCTTTAAGGCACACAGGTCTAAGAATGCCTTGGTAAACGAGGGCCAGTGAGTCCTCAAGAAGGGAAGGAGGCATCTCCAGTCATCCAACAAGCTACCGAGAGGACAGGATGAGCGCCACTGCCCCCACACCGGTTATGCCCACGTTCACCAATCTCTAAGGACGTGCAAACATTCACCACAAATTTAGCCACACCTGCGCACCATCTGCATAGAGTTCGTGCCATTTTTTCTTTAAATACTCATTTTAACCTAAATATGCTTTACTAGGGAAACTATGAACCATTAAGTGGAAGGTCAATATTTCTTCTAATAATCTTTAAAATACGGGCATAACACATTAAGATAAAAACTTTTCATCTGTGTACCACTGAAAAGAGAATTACACAGTTCATTAACACAGGGTTTTGGCACCATTAAGAGGCACCACGGGCCTCATGGCATAGACTATATCTGCAGGTTCCCTGAGCTTCCCGGGGCCTGGCTTCCTCTTCCCAGGCAATTCCAGCCAAGCCCAGGACCCACCTCTCACACACACCCAGGGCTGCCATCCTGTTTACAGCTGAGAAAACTCAAGCTGGGCAGAAGTTAGAGAGCCCAGCAAGAAGGCTCTAAAGGACAGACACAGTTTTTGTATCTTTCTCCCCAGAAACCATTCCGTGTAAACCGGCCCCTTGTCTCAGGCAGCTGGGCTACAAAGTCGGCCTTCTGCCTTCCAGGCCACACCCTCCCTCTCGGGGCCAGAGCTCACCGTGATCTGTTTCACATCTTCTTCTGCCTCGTCCTGCGAAGAGTCTCCAGCTGCAAGGAACGGTAAGTGCTACCTGCAGCCTCTGGTGGAGCCCCCAGCTGCCCACTCTCATCACCCAACCAGGGAGGCCTCAAGCAGGGGTGTCTGTGAATTCACCTTCTAAACATAGGAGTTCCATGTTGGTAGTTCTCAACTGGGGGCAATTTGTCCCCCAGGGGGCATGTGGGGGTGCGTGGGCATTTCTGGTTGTCAGGACTGTGGAGGTGGGTGTCCCTGGCATGCAGTGGGTAGAGGCCAGGGATGCTGCTAAGCAGCCTGTAATCAGTCCCTTCAATACTTTCCCTGTGACCGAGCCATCCCACCGAGATGTAGACAGACAGCACAACTGGAGGTCCAGAGCTCACCCTCATTGGCCGCCTCCCTCTCTCGGTGCTTGGCATCCGCCTTATCCAAGTAGGAGAAGCTGGGCCGTAGCTGCAGGATGCCATGTAAAGGTGTCAGGTGGAGCTCACCTGGCAGGGTAAGAAGGACTTGGACCTGATGCTAGAAACTGGGGCCAGCCCACCCAGTTAGGCTCAAGGCCTCAGTCCACTGCCAAGCACCTCCCACTTCTGCTCCAGCCCCAGTCCTAGAATCTTGGGACCACCAGGCAAAGGGCCATTCCAAACTCTACTTGGGATACAGCAAGGATCAGGACACAAACCCACTCTCCTGCTCAAGCTCCTCCCTTACGGCCAGCCTGCCTGCTGGCCCTGCTCTGCAAGCTGTCCAAGTTCCCCCAGCCCTGGTCCCCACTCCCTCCACCACACCACGCAACCCACCCACCCCAGACACACACCGCCCCTCCCTGCCAGGCCTCTGCCAGGCCACCCGCACTGCCCCCTGCCCACCCAGATTTCCTCCTCTTTTCATTTTTCTACTTCCAAATCCCACCCGCCCCATTCAGAAGTCTGCTAGGGAAAACGAGGCTGGCAAAGGGCCCTGGGTGGAGCCAGGTGGAAGGGTGCCTATAGAGTACCCATGAAGAGCATGACTTTTCCTGTTGAATTAGCCCCATGCACTGGGAGGCAAGATAATCAATTTCAATCAAACCAATGTAGGCATGAAAGAAGTCAGATGCCAGGGCTCTGTCTAGGTGGCCTGGTAGAAGCTCTCTGGACGGCAGGGAGCAGAAGGCTTGAGACAAGGAGTAAATAAGTGAATTCCTGGCTTCAAGGAATGTGGCTTTAAAGAACTTGGGACAGTTTCAGAATCAAAGAATTTAGATATTTGACACTACTTTTGATTCTATGCTAGTTTCCTAAGTGTTCAAATTAATTTCTTTTACTGCTTTATAAACTCTCAATACTTACAGTACCTTGTATTTTTTAGTGGCTCTTTTGAGACATAATGCACATGCCATATAATTTACCATGTTAAGCACGTGATTCAGTGGGCTTAGTATCAGAGGCATATAACCAACACCACAGTTTAAGAACATGTTCATCACCCCCCAAAAAAACCGTGCCCCTATCAGCAGCCACTCCCCATTCCACTCTCCCCCGGCCCCTGGCGACCATTAATCTGCTTTCTGTCTCCATGAATTTGCCTATTTTGGGCATTTTGTATGAATGGAATCATTCAGTATGTGGTCCTTTGTAACTGGCTTCCTTCGCTTAATGTTTTCAAGGCTCACCCATGCCAGACTGTGTGGCTCAGAACTTCATTCTTGATATGGCCAACAGCATTCCACTGCATGGCTTTTCCACATTTATCCATGTGCTTATCAGCAGATGGACATTTGGATCATTTCCACTTTTTCAGTATCACAAATAATGCTACTATCAACATCTGCATGTGTACAAGTTTTGTGTGGAGATACATTTTCATTTTTCATTTCTCTTGGATAGGTGTCATCTAGGAATGGAGTTGCTGGGCCATAAATACCTTGTATTTAAAAAAAATTCTACTGCCTATCTCAAAAGTTATGCTGTGAGGATGTCTGTGTCCCAGGAGGACAATGACCTTGGAAGCAATGTCTAGCCAGAAGTCCCTAGAGTGGCCAGTTCAAGTCCCTGACAACCTGTTATTTCCATAAGCAGGTGTCCAGCATTTGAGGGAGGAGGGGGCTGGATACGAGGCTAGGGAAGGCCGTCCCCGTCCCAGTCCCATGAGCCATGGCAGCCCGGGATGTTCAGCTGCAGGTACCTTGTCTGTAGAGTGCAGCGGCGTAACGGGATGTATTATTGGTGGTCTGGGAGGAGCAGAACGTCTGCTTGTCCATCAGCTTCCTGAGAGCACAGGGAGAACGTGTCAGGAGGAAGGAAGCTCCAGACCTAGGGCCTGGCAAGCTCAGCCTCCACCCCAGACACATTCTGAAGTCCAATAGCCAGGGCTGAGGCTACAGACAGGATACATGAGCCTCAGGAGGGGAGCCAGGGAAGAGGAAACCCAAGACCTTCTTTGTGGCCCAAGAGACAGGTAGTGGGTGTGAGCACCAGCTCCCATCAAGGTGCCTCAGAAGAACAGGTCAGAGCAGCCATGTCAGCAGGGAAGATGTTTCCCACAGGGAATGGCCTGCACCAGGCAGGCCCAGCCATGCAAGGGGGGGCTTCCCAGCAAAAGTATATGAGAGCCTAGATGTCCTAAGGCCTTTGGAAGGCTCCTGAAACACAGTGACACTCAGAAGCCCTGGGGCCCCCAGGAACTCACGAGGAGTACGTGCTGGTCTCGTCGGCACAGGCACCATCCACGTTCAGTGCAATCTGCTCCCCTTTGCTGCGACAATAGTTGGGATTCAGGGTGTCGATGGCCATCTCAAGCTCTACCTGGAGGTATCAAGCACCCCCACCAACTATGAAGACCCCCCAAGGCCACCCCAACCCTGCCATGGTCACCCCACCAGTCCCTGCCAATTCTGGCCCTGCCCACAAGCAGGACTGACCCATGCCTCTGCTCCAGGGCCCCTGGGCTTCAGTCTATACCCGAGGCCACAAACCCAAATTCTAACAGAAAGCCCAGAGTGCTTTTCTTATTTTGGGGGGGCCAGGGGCCTGCAGGGTGATTTCATGTAGTAGCTTTATCCTCCCCACTCTACTGCCCAAAATCTAAATTAGGTACCAACATTTAAAAATCAAGAGATTTTCCCATAAAAACCCATACTGCCAACTTCTTTTGCACAGCCAGCGGAACTGGCGACCCGGAACAGCACCTCCCCGTGACAGTGGGGCAGGGGCCGCAGCTGCCCCAGGTCGGGCCGCCTCCTCTGATTCTCTTGGTCCCATCATCCATCCCTTTCAGACTCAGGTCCCCCATGCCAAGGACTGCTTCACACCGGCCCCTACCTTCTCTGTGAGCATGAGCTCCCCCGCCCCGGCCACCCCCTCCCAGCCTCTCATTCCTCCTGCGCCTCTCTGGAGCTGCCCACACTTCTTTCTGGGAACTCTTTCTTTCCTCAGTTTGCAAGGCCCTGCAAGCTACTGTTCTCCTAACTCTCCAATCGCTCCTTCTCTGGGCTTCCAGTCCCCAAAGGGCCGATCTCCCCACCACCATCATCTCACCCGTATCACCCCTCCCCTCCTCCACCTCCACCAGACAGGGCAGCCCCACCTTCTGCTGCTTGGGCTTGATCTTGGCCGAGAGGTGCGGAATGTCGTCGTAGGTCATCGAGGCTGGACGCACAGGGTACTGGGGAGGAAAAGGGAGCTGTCATCCACCCTGCCCAGCCCGTGCCAGAGCCGGGTCTCCGCCTGCACCCGACTCTCATTGGCCCCACATGGCCTCCTTCCAGAGGGCAACTGTCAGATGTCTGTGACTTCCAAGGGACACGCCTCAGTTTTGGGTACCCAAACAGGCCCCACGCACAGCACCCTGTGGGCTCTGCTGACCTGCAGAGCCCCGCCATGGGCGTCCAGAGTAAGGTCTAACTCTAGCTCTACCTGCTGTCCAGGCAGAGGAGGACCCGTGTGATGCGACCACAGGGAACACAGGGAGGATGCGCCGGGGATTCGCTGCCCCACTCCCTCTCTCTCCCTTCACTTGTATGTGTGAACTTCTCCACACTGCAGAGTCGAAGAGAGAGGAGAGCTGGTCCACCTGACCTGCTCACAGAGCTCCTGTGCCACAGTGTTACCACGTGCGGAGTCATTTTTGCTGCCCATGCTGACTGCTCTGAACACGCGGGGGCGCCTCTCCTCCTCCCACGCTGTCTGTGTGCTCCTGGGTGCGTGGATGCGGCACGGTTTGGGCCGACGCTCAGAAGGCCCTGGCCGTCACCGCCAGTTCCACAGCCTCTGAGGCGAGCCCGGGGAGACACAGATGTGTGTAAAGTGAGCCCTCCTTTTGGGGCTGTCTCAGATCAGCTAACGTTCCAGCCTAAGGAAATGGTTATTTCCTAAAAGCTCACTCAAATAGCAACAGTGACTCCTCCTTGCTTCCTGGCGGGAGCCTGGGGCCCAACTGGTCAGGCTTAAGCCCGTGAAAAGGGCCTGGGCTAAGGCAGCCTCAAGCACAACAGCCCAGAGAACCCCTGGTCGGCCAAGGCCCAGGGCAGCTCTACCATCTCCTGACCTCAGTCTGGGCAAGGGGCTGCCGCAGGGCAGAGTCTAGAATTAGACAGGCCTGGGCTCTGGTCCTAGCTCTGCCCCTTGCACCTTGCGTCCTCAGGCAGGCCCCTGGCTCTGCGAGGATGTGTGTCCTCGTCTCCCAGGGCCACTGCGAGCAGGGAGTGAGGCAGGGAGTGAGGCTAACACAGCTGATGTGCCAGCACCCCGTGAGCACAGGGTCACTGTCCCCACCACCAGTTCCACCACCACTGTGCAGTGAGAAGGCCCAAAGAGCAGGCCCCCGGCCCCAAGGCCTATACAGGCAAACCCAGGGTGACAGATGNCTCCCGGGGCCCTGTCCCTGCCCCGCCCCTGCCTATGTACCCAGGCTGCAGCCTCCCAGTGAGGGATGGATAGACGCTTGTCCCCAAACCCCCCCAAACCCCTGCAACTCACAGAGAAAGGAGGGCCATCTCTTCTCGCACCCACCCTCCTGACCTTCTCTGGAGGGTAGTGGGCCCTCTCCCGTGTCCCTCCCCAACGGGCACAGTCCCCGGGGCCAGTGTCAGGCCCCGCAGCCCCCAGGACTGAGGATGCTGGCTGGGCCAGTCCCACCTGGGCGACTTGACAAGCTCCGTGTTCTCCACCCCGCTGGAGCTCTGGCACAGCAGGTACTGGCGCTCATGCTCAGAGCGGCTGTCCTGTTGGGAGGGGGAACCTCAGCTGCCGCCCCAGGCCTATGTCCCCAAGCCCTCTGCCACCCACAGTTCTCACCCCTGCATCACCCTCTATTCCAGCCCCACACTGTCCTGCCCCAAGGCTGGCCACAAGATCACGTCCAGCCTCCTGAGCTGGACGCGATCCTGTGACGTGGCCTCAACCAGCTACGGCTCTGGCTTTATGACTACAGCACCAGCACCATGCCTCGACGCCTGCCTGTGATACAGGAAGACTAAGGGCAACGATAAAAATAACATCTAACATTCACTGAACACCTACTGTGTTAGGCTCTGTTCCAATGGCTGTATATGTACATCAAGTCACCTCATCTTCAAAATAACTCTAGATGAAGTCAGGGACTATTATTATTATTATTCCCATTTTACAGAAAAGCAAACAGGCTCAGAGAGGTGAGGTAACTTGCCTAAGGTCACACACTAGGAAAGAGCAGACCTTCTGGATGCCTGACCCTGAGACTAAGGCCCTGTCAACACAAATCTCTTTTAGGAAGTTTCCAGAGAAATCAGGAGTTGCTTCTCCCTGAGAAAAATGTTGGAAAGCCCTAGGCTACGGTGTCTTTGTGAGCTCAATACACTCAATACACAGCTTCAAGGATCAGGTTCTAAGGCAACACAGGAGATGAAAACTGAGTAACAACTGCCCTTGGCAGGCACATGGTGAGCTCAGTCATGGAACAGATGGACCATTCTCCTTGGAGTGCCTTTGTTTGAGACCATGATGCACAAAAATATGTCCCCACACCAGCCCCATGCCGAGCCCAGCAGGATGCTTCCACCGTGGGGGCACTACAACCCCCCTACGCAGGGAGATGGCAGGATAGGGATGCCTGCAACCCCTTCTAGGGGGACAGCAGACTCACTCCTCAATCTCACGCGCCCTCGGGGGCACACCCCACGTGGAATGGCTGGAGCAGAGAACAGGCTGCCCACAGGGCTTTACACCTCTCCTGTGGAGCCACCAAGGCCCTGCTGGCCCATGAGCTCAGAAAGCAGATGAGCTCACCCGCAGGCCGTAGTAGTGCAGATGGACCCAGGGCTCCTCGGCATGCTTCTTCTGCAGGAATTCATAGGACTGCACGCGGCGCTGGCGGGCCTGCTCCGACTCAGGCCTAGAGAAGCGTACCTGGGAGTTGGGGTGGGGGGGGTCACAGCCTCAGACTGGGACCCTTCCTGGGCTACTGCCCCAGTGCCCACCAGCAGGCCAGGGTACCCCATCTAGGGTCTTCCCGCTCCCACCTCCCTTCATTTCCCAACACAGGTCTTTAAAATTCAGTTCCAACCATGTCCCTCTCTGGGACCCAACAGGCTGGGGAGCACCTTTCCCTTGCTTCTGCGTGCCCAGCACCCAATCCATTTCTACTCCCACTAGTCACAGTGCCCCCATTTTCCTTTGGGAAGACTCCCAGTTTCCCTTCAGTCTGGGGAGATAATACCCCACCCCCTGCCCCCATCCCCCCAGGTTCCCAGCTCAGGAGTGGTCATGTGACTCAGACCTGGACAATCTGAGCACCAAATCCTCTTAGCCACAGGGGCTGGTTCAGGGTTGGCCAAGCCAATGAGTCCAGTCTGGGGACTTTAGTTAGAAGGTATGAGAAAGAAGTTTCTTTTCCCCTGGGGTCTTGGAAACTGGGAAGATGTGAGCCTGGAGCTGGGACAACTCTCTGTACCACTGGGGACAGACACCCTGCCTGAGAAAGGGTCCACAAAAGGAAGACAGAACCTGGAGATGGAGATGGAGAAACCAGGTCTCAATGACAGTCTGAACACCTGAATTCAGCCATTCCTGAAGCTACCCTTCAACTTTTCAGTAACATTCCATTTGTGGCTCAAGCCTGGGGATCTGGGTTTCTGCTGCTCAGAGTCCAGATGGAGCCAAGCCCTGACTCACCTCTCCTGTGACTGGCACCTGGTCCAGGGGCGGTGGCAGGGTTACAGAATCCTGTATTCTCTACAGGGCCTTTAAGGCACACAGGTCTAAGAATGCCTTGGTAAACGAGGGCCAGTGAGTCCTCAAGAAGGGAAGGAGGCATCTCCAGTCATCCAACAAGCTACCGAGAGGACAGGATGAGCGCCACTGCCCCCACACCGGTTATGCCCACGTTCACCAATCTCTAAGGACGTGCAAACATTCACCACAAATTTAGCCACACCTGCGCACCATCTGCATAGAGTTCGTGCCATTTTTTCTTTAAATACTCATTTTAACCTAAATATGCTTTACTAGGGAAACTATGAACCATTAAGTGGAAGGTCAATATTTCTTCTAATAATCTTTAAAATACGGGCATAACACATTAAGATAAAAACTTTTCATCTGTGTACCACTGAAAAGAGAATTACACAGTTCATTAACACAGGGTTTTGGCACCATTAAGAGGCACCACGGGCCTCATGGCATAGACTATATCTGCAGGTTCCCTGAGCTTCCCGGGGCCTGGCTTCCTCTTCCCAGGCAATTCCAGCCAAGCCCAGGACCCACCTCTCACACACACCCAGGGCTGCCATCCTGTTTACAGCTGAGAAAACTCAAGCTGGGCAGAAGTTAGAGAGCCCAGCAAGAAGGCTCTAAAGGACAGACACAGTTTTTGTATCTTTCTCCCCAGAAACCATTCCGTGTAAACCGGCCCCTTGTCTCAGGCAGCTGGGCTACAAAGTCGGCCTTCTGCCTTCCAGGCCACACCCTCCCTCTCGGGGCCAGAGCTCACCGTGATCTGTTTCACATCTTCTTCTGCCTCGTCCTGCGAAGAGTCTCCAGCTGCAAGGAACGGTAAGTGCTACCTGCAGCCTCTGGTGGAGCCCCCAGCTGCCCACTCTCATCACCCAACCAGGGAGGCCTCAAGCAGGGGTGTCTGTGAATTCACCTTCTAAACATAGGAGTTCCATGTTGGTAGTTCTCAACTGGGGGCAATTTGTCCCCCAGGGGGCATGTGGGGGTGCGTGGGCATTTCTGGTTGTCAGGACTGTGGAGGTGGGTGTCCCTGGCATGCAGTGGGTAGAGGCCAGGGATGCTGCTAAGCAGCCTGTAATCAGTCCCTTCAATACTTTCCCTGTGACCGAGCCATCCCACCGAGATGTAGACAGACAGCACAACTGGAGGTCCAGAGCTCACCCTCATTGGCCGCCTCCCTCTCTCGGTGCTTGGCATCCGCCTTATCCAAGTAGGAGAAGCTGGGCCGTAGCTGCAGGATGCCATGTAAAGGTGTCAGGTGGAGCTCACCTGGCAGGGTAAGAAGGACTTGGACCTGATGCTAGAAACTGGGGCCAGCCCACCCAGTTAGGCTCAAGGCCTCAGTCCACTGCCAAGCACCTCCCACTTCTGCTCCAGCCCCAGTCCTAGAATCTTGGGACCACCAGGCAAAGGGCCATTCCAAACTCTACTTGGGATACAGCAAGGATCAGGACACAAACCCACTCTCCTGCTCAAGCTCCTCCCTTACGGCCAGCCTGCCTGCTGGCCCTGCTCTGCAAGCTGTCCAAGTTCCCCCAGCCCTGGTCCCCACTCCCTCCACCACACCACGCAACCCACCCACCCCAGACACACACCGCCCCTCCCTGCCAGGCCTCTGCCAGGCCACCCGCACTGCCCCCTGCCCACCCAGATTTCCTCCTCTTTTCATTTTTCTACTTCCAAATCCCACCCGCCCCATTCAGAAGTCTGCTAGGGAAAACGAGGCTGGCAAAGGGCCCTGGGTGGAGCCAGGTGGAAGGGTGCCTATAGAGTACCCATGAAGAGCATGACTTTTCCTGTTGAATTAGCCCCATGCACTGGGAGGCAAGATAATCAATTTCAATCAAACCAATGTAGGCATGAAAGAAGTCAGATGCCAGGGCTCTGTCTAGGTGGCCTAGTAGAAGCTCTCTGGACGGCAGGGAGCAGAAGGCTTGAGACAAGGAGTAAATAAGTGAATTCCTGGCTTCAAGGAATGTGGCTTTAAAGAACTTGGGACAGTTTCAGAATCAAAGAATTTAGATATTTGACACTACTTTTGATTCTATGCTAGTTTCCTAAGTGTTCAAATTAATTTCTTTTACTGCTTTATAAACTCTCAATACTTACAGTACCTTGTATTTTTTAGTGGCTCTTTTGAGACATAATGCACATGCCATATAATTTACCATGTTAAGCACGTGATTCAGTGGGCTTAGTATCAGAGGCATATAACCAACACCACAGTTTAAGAACATGTTCATCACCCCCCAAAAAAACCGTGCCCCTATCAGCAGCCACTCCCCATTCCACTCTCCCCCGGCCCCTGGCGACCATTAATCTGCTTTCTGTCTCCATGAATTTGCCTATTTTGGGCATTTTGTATGAATGGAATCATTCAGTATGTGGTCCTTTGTAACTGGCTTCCTTCGCTTAATGTTTTCAAGGCTCACCCATGCCAGACTGTGTGGCTCAGAACTTCATTCTTGATATGGCCAACAGCATTCCACTGCATGGCTTTTCCACATTTATCCATGTGCTTATCAGCAGATGGACATTTGGATCATTTCCACTTTTTCAGTATCACAAATAATGCTACTATCAACATCTGCATGTGTACAAGTTTTGTGTGGAGATACATTTTCATTTTTCATTTCTCTTGGATAGGTGTCATCTAGGAATGGAGTTGCTGGGCCATAAATACCTTGTATTTAAAAAAAATTCTACTGCCTATCTCAAAAGTTATGCTGTGAGGATGTCTGTGTCCCAGGAGGACAATGACCTTGGAAGCAATGTCTAGCCAGAAGTCCCTAGAGTGGCCAGTTCAAGTCCCTGACAACCTGTTATTTCCATAAGCAGGTGTCCAGCATTTGAGGGAGGAGGGGGCTGGATACGAGGCTAGGGAAGGCCGTCCCCGTCCCAGTCCCATGAGCCATGGCAGCCCGGGATGTTCAGCTGCAGGTACCTTGTCTGTAGAGTGCAGCGGCGTAACGGGATGTATTATTGGTGGTCTGGGAGGAGCAGAACGTCTGCTTGTCCATCAGCTTCCTGAGAGCACAGGGAGAACGTGTCAGGAGGAAGGAAGCTCCAGACCTAGGGCCTGGCAAGCTCAGCCTCCACCCCAGACACATTCTGAAGTCCAATAGCCAGGGCTGAGGCTACAGACAGGATACATGAGCCTCAGGAGGGGAGCCAGGGAAGAGGAAACCCAAGACCTTCTTTGTGGCCCAAGAGACAGGTAGTGGGTGTGAGCACCAGCTCCCATCAAGGTGCCTCAGAAGAACAGGTCAGAGCAGCCATGTCAGCAGGGAAGATGTTTCCCACAGGGAATGGCCTGCACCAGGCAGGCCCAGCCATGCAAGGGGGGGCTTCCCAGCAAAAGTATATGAGAGCCTAGATGTCCTAAGGCCTTTGGAAGGCTCCTGAAACACAGTGACACTCAGAAGCCCTGGGGCCCCCAGGAACTCACGAGGAGTACGTGCTGGTCTCGTCGGCACAGGCACCATCCACGTTCAGTGCAATCTGCTCCCCTTTGCTGCGACAATAGTTGGGATTCAGGGTGTCGATGGCCATCTCAAGCTCTACCTGGAGGTATCAAGCACCCCCACCAACTATGAAGACCCCCCAAGGCCACCCCAACCCTGCCATGGTCACCCCACCAGTCCCTGCCAATTCTGGCCCTGCCCACAAGCAGGACTGACCCATGCCTCTGCTCCAGGGCCCCTGGGCTTCAGTCTATACCCGAGGCCACAAACCCAAATTCTAACAGAAAGCCCAGAGTGCTTTTCTTATTTTGGGGGGGCCAGGGGCCTGCAGGGTGATTTCATGTAGTAGCTTTATCCTCCCCACTCTACTGCCCAAAATCTAAATTAGGTACCAACATTTAAAAATCAAGAGATTTTCCCATAAAAACCCATACTGCCAACTTCTTTTGCACAGCCAGCGGAACTGGCGACCCGGAACAGCACCTCCCCGTGACAGTGGGGCAGGGGCCGCAGCTGCCCCAGGTCGGGCCGCCTCCTCTGATTCTCTTGGTCCCATCATCCATCCCTTTCAGACTCAGGTCCCCCATGCCAAGGACTGCTTCACACCGGCCCCTACCTTCTCTGTGAGCATGAGCTCCCCCGCCCCGGCCACCCCCTCCCAGCCTCTCATTCCTCCTGCGCCTCTCTGGAGCTGCCCACACTTCTTTCTGGGAACTCTTTCTTTCCTCAGTTTGCAAGGCCCTGCAAGCTACTGTTCTCCTAACTCTCCAATCGCTCCTTCTCTGGGCTTCCAGTCCCCAAAGGGCCGATCTCCCCACCACCATCATCTCACCCGTATCACCCCTCCCCTCCTCCACCTCCACCAGACAGGGCAGCCCCACCTTCTGCTGCTTGGGCTTGATCTTGGCCGAGAGGTGCGGAATGTCGTCGTAGGTCATCGAGGCTGGACGCACAGGGTACTGGGGAGGAAAAGGGAGCTGTCATCCACCCTGCCCAGCCCGTGCCAGAGCCGGGTCTCCGCCTGCACCCGACTCTCATTGGCCCCACATGGCCTCCTTCCAGAGGGCAACTGTCAGATGTCTGTGACTTCCAAGGGACACGCCTCAGTTTTGGGTACCCAAACAGGCCCCACGCACAGCACCCTGTGGGCTCTGCTGACCTGCAGAGCCCCGCCATGGGCGTCCAGAGTAAGGTCTAACTCTAGCTCTACCTGCTGTCCAGGCAGAGGAGGACCCGTGTGATGCGACCACAGGGAACACAGGGAGGATGCGCCGGGGATTCGCTGCCCCACTCCCTCTCTCTCCCTTCACTTGTATGTGTGAACTTCTCCACACTGCAGAGTCGAAGAGAGAGGAGAGCTGGTCCACCTGACCTGCTCACAGAGCTCCTGTGCCACAGTGTTACCACGTGCGGAGTCATTTTTGCTGCCCATGCTGACTGCTCTGAACACGCGGGGGCGCCTCTCCTCCTCCCACGCTGTCTGTGTGCTCCTGGGTGCGTGGATGCGGCACGGTTTGGGCCGACGCTCAGAAGGCCCTGGCCGTCACCGCCAGTTCCACAGCCTCTGAGGCGAGCCCGGGGAGACACAGATGTGTGTAAAGTGAGCCCTCCTTTTGGGGCTGTCTCAGATCAGCTAACGTTCCAGCCTAAGGAAATGGTTATTTCCTAAAAGCTCACTCAAATAGCAACAGTGACTCCTCCTTGCTTCCTGGCGGGAGCCTGGGGCCCAACTGGTCAGGCTTAAGCCCGTGAAAAGGGCCTGGGCTAAGGCAGCCTCAAGCACAACAGCCCAGAGAACCCCTGGTCGGCCAAGGCCCAGGGCAGCTCTACCATCTCCTGACCTCAGTCTGGGCAAGGGGCTGCCGCAGGGCAGAGTCTAGAATTAGACAGGCCTGGGCTCTGGTCCTAGCTCTGCCCCTTGCACCTTGCGTCCTCAGGCAGGCCCCTGGCTCTGCGAGGATGTGTGTCCTCATCTCCCAGGGCCACTGCGAGCAGGGAGTGAGGCAGGGAGTGAGGCTAACACAGCTGATGTGCCAGCACCCCGTGAGCACAGGGTCACTGTCCCCACCACCAGTTCCACCACCACTGTGCAGTGAGAAGGCCCAAAGAGCAGGCCCCCGGCCCCAAGGCCTATACAGGCAAACCCAGGGTGACAGATGTTGGGCCACTTGTCAGCACGTGCTTGGAACCCTGCTACTGCTGCCCTGTCCCAGGCCCCCTGTGCAAGCTACTAGCCTCCCTGTGCCTTGTTTTCTCATTTGCAATATGGGGACAAAAATACTTAATAAAAAAACCCTCGTCATTGGGAATGTAAAATGGTACAAAGCAGTCTGTCAGTTCCTCAAATTATTAAATGTAGAGCTTCCATATGACCCAGCAATTCCAATACTAGGTCTATGTCCAAGAGAAATGAGGACACATGTCTACACAAAGACTTGTACAAAGATGTCTACAGCAGCATTATTCATAATAGCCAAAAAGTGGGAACCCAAGTACACAGCAATAGATGCATGGATAAACAAAATGGGGTAACTATACCCATACCAGGGTACACCCTGGTGATCCCAGAAGAAGGAATGGTATACTGACACATGCTGTAACGTGAGTGAACCTTGAACCTATTGAGCTAAGTGAAATAAGCCAGTTCACAAACACACAATGTATAATCCTATTTACAAAAAAATGCCCAGAATAGGCAAATTCATAGAGAGAGAAAACAGGTTAATAGCTGCCTAGGGCTGCAAGTGGGAAGGGCAGCGGGAGAGATGTGGGCCAAAACTGTCCTAAAACAGACTATGGTGCTCGGTGCACAACCCGCGTGCATAGACTGAGGTCCATTGCATTACACTCGCATTATACCCCTAGGTGGGGGAGTTGTTTGGTATGTGAGTTAGACCAGGTGAAGGGGTTTTATTACAATAGTAACCACCACAAGGTATTTGTGGGAGGAGGTGGGTGACATAGGTTGAGTGCTTTCAACATTGTCTGCCTACAGTCCATGCTCAGTACTGGGAGCCACTAGGATAAGCTGTAGGCCCAGCAGACAGGGAGGGAGCAGGGGTACCTGGGGCACTCACAGCTGGCACGACAGGGGCTCCGGGACATGGCCCAGAAAGCCCCTCTCTGCCCCTCTTCTCAGGGCCAGCTCTGTGCTGGGCAGGGTTCTGAACACTTTACTATGGATTCACCCAATCCCCCGGGGGTCCTACAAGGCAGGTACTATTATTCCCACTATTCTGCAAATGAGGAAACTGAGGCACAGAGAGATTAAGGAACTTGTCCAAGGGCTCACAACTAAGTCGCAATGGAGCTGGGCCTCGCCAGTGGCAGTCTGCCCCTGGACCCACGCTCTAACCACTACACCGTCCCACCTCGAGCAGCTGCCCTGGTTTACCCGTCATTGGGATGAGAGACCACCGACCCATCTGCCTGCGAAAGTGGGAAGATGGCTCTTATCACACACTCTGCACCAAGAGCCCTAAGCGAGGCTGAGGCTTTGCACCGCTCCTCGCCCAGCACCCACCACCCACCATTTGCATGTTTCCCCTTTACCTCAGGTCCCGTAATTACCTGAAACAGATAGAGCCTCTCTGCCAGACTTTTGGCCAAGTACACGTCGATCTGGGAACAAGGGAAGAAGACTTAAATAGGAGACAGAACCTGGTGCCTGCCCTGCCCTCCAATTTCAGGTAAGGCATAGTGGCTCTGAGAGGCAGTCTGGGGGAGGGAAGAGCTAGGCTTTTGCTGGTAACAAGGGAACCAAGTCTCCAATCTGGATGCATTCAGGGCCCCCTCCCTACAGCTCCCTGGGGGACCAGGTGAGCATTCACCCGGCCCCCTCCAAGGTCACTATGACCCAATAAAAATGCACCTTCCTAGGGCTGCTCACATCAGGATGTAGCCTGGGGCTGTATTAAACGGTTTTTCAGATGGGGAGCCCTTACCTAGCCATCACACTGCCTCCCTGTGCCCCCCACCTGCCCCTGAAGGGCCTGACACCCTGTTGTAAGGTGGGCTGCAAACCCCTCCAAACTGACCTGGCTCCTTCTTCCTTCTCAACACTAACCACCCACCACCCAATTGTGCAGCAGTTTACCTTCCTGCTTCCTAGCTCTTCATGAGAACTATGTTCTCTCCCACCACCAGGACTTAAAGATGAGTTGAAGGGTCATCAGGAACAGGGGAGGCACGTGTGAAGGGCATTCTGTAGGCAGCGGTGACCGCATGTGCAAAGGCCCTCAAGCTCTAGGCTGTGTCCTAATCTGGGCTGACTCTGAAACCTACCTCCCCATCATCTGCAGGTCGAGACGCCTTTCCTGTCAGCCTCACCACATAGACCTTAAACTTCCCTAGGGCAGGACGCTGCCTCCCTCACTGTCACTGCCCCCAGCACAGTGGATCCAGCGAACAACAGCTGAACGACAACTGGGCAAGCCCAGGAAGGAGGCGAGGGTGTGCAAACCCATCCTTTCATTCAACAAATGGTCATGGAGGATTACGTGCCAGGCACTGAATTTGGCTTTGTGGACACAGTGGCGAACAGAACAAAATCGCTTGCTCACAAAGCTTACATTCCAGGGGAAGAAGCTTATGTCTAGGGGCTGATAAGTGCTGTGGCCAAGTACAAAGTATGGTCAAAGTAGGGGGCTGAGGATGCTGGGGAGCGGGGCAGGAGAAAGGCACACGAGGATGGGTGGTCAGAGACATGGTGACCACTGGTTCAGAGGCCTGCAGGAAGTGAGGAGCTCGGTCAGGCAGGTGTCTGAGAGAGAAGGGCTCCAGGCAGAGGGAATGGCCAGGCCTGGGCGGCCTGTGGCTGCCAGCAGGTCCCCGGCTGACCTGAGGACCGATGGAAGGGCCCCAGCCCCACCACTTGCAGTCCTGGGCCCAGGTATTTCTTTCGGGCAGTGCTGGTAAAGGTGGGGACCAGCAGTTACCTCCTGCACGACTGGGTCATCCTCTTCATTGGCCATACTAGGGCGCAGCCGGCTGTGCAGTCCTCAGACTCGATCTGCAAGGGACAATGAGAGACCTGGATGCCGGACAATGGTTCAGCCAACACTTCTGGGCTCCTCTTCTGTGACAGGCCCTGTGTGCTGGGAGGGAAGAGCCTGAGGCAAACAGAAACCCACCTTCTCTCTACATCTTCCATGGAGTCAATAACACACAGCCAACTATTTACCCCAGGAGCCAAAAAAAAAAAAAAAGAAGAGAGAAAGAAATGAAACATGGGTGCAAACTGGTGGGCCAGAGGCACCACATGTTGGCTGCACTATGGGAAAGAATAAATGACCAGTGTTCAGGGTTCTTGACCACTCACAATGAAGGGGCTGGAGGCTGCCAGGCAGGGGCTGGAGGCTGGCTGGTTTACAGCCGTGATAAAAACACCCGAAAACAAATTGGGGAGCTTTTAAGTCCAACATCCAATGGGAAGAGCAAGCAAACAATCCCAAGGCTCTCCAGGGCGACTGTTGCTGATACTTGACTTTCAAACCCAACCTTGAGTGACATGACTCTCTTCTGTGTGTGTGTGTGTGTGTGTGTGTGTGTGTGTGTGTGTGTATCTAAAAATGACCCTCTGCTTTTCTCTAATGTATTCAACACAACAATCCTGTGAGGTGGCTAGATTGTGCCCATTTTATAATGGGGGGCTGGAACTCAGGGACACTTTAGGTGTCTTACTCAAAGCCACATAGCAAGCAAGAGAACACACTCGACTTCAAAGCCAGGCTGGCTGACGGAGGGGAGGACCTTCCTGCTGGGAGAGGAGGGGGCAGGGGCAGAGGAGGGGAGGAGGATGCTGGATCTGGACCTTGAGAGATAAAAGGATTTGGGGCAGCCAAACACAGGGGAAGAGGGCCTCCAGGTGACAGGAAGAACCTCAAATGCCTGGAGGAGGGAAGGCTGCAAGTCTCCTAGGCAGAAGGTGAGTAATTCAGCTGGGCTGACCCTCAGCATTCCCAAAGGAAGGGATGATCACAGTTAGAAAGGCACCTGGACATCCCCAGACCTCCTCTTTTGGGTAAGACCATCATGATTTTTGTCTTATCTTACTGAACAGGGGAGTATGTAATATTTAAAACGGTATAATACCTTCACCATGGGTGAGATTCAATATCATCTAAGCCCCTCACCAGAGCCACACCACCTGAAATCATCTCCCCGATTCCAGCAAACTCAGTGTTGGTCTCAGCCTTGATGCCTCCCTTCCTTTCATCCTGTACCAGCAAATCCTGAGATTTCTACCTTCCAAGTTTATCTGGAATCTGGCCAGCCCAGTCCAGTGAGAGAGACAGAGAGAGAGAGAGAGAGAGAGAGAGAGAGAGAGAGAGAGAGTCCCATCTCACTCCTGGCTGTAACAGCCAAAGTCTTGAAGAACACCCCCTCACCCTGCCCCTTTACCTCTCAGACCCCATCTCCCAAAGGCCTCCTTCCCTCCTCTCTGAGCCCCGTGCCCCACCCACTCTGGGCCTTGGAACTGCTCTTCCCCCCACAGCCTCTGGCTCCCTCTCTCCCTCACCTCTTCCAGGTCTTCGCTTCATCACTAAGACCCCCATCCGCCCTTTTCAACACTGCAACACCCTGGCCCCCCACTGTGTTCCCTGCTCTGGTTTTCCCCACAATGCGTATTACCATGTTCAAGTTTACAACTCTGTCCCTGCTGCTGCTAAGCCATAAACTACATGAAGACAGAGGTTTGGGTCTATTTGTCCCTCGCTGTATCCCAGTGCCTAGCACACAGCAAGCACTCAATATGTATATGCTGTCTGAATAAATGAACCATGGGAACGATGAATAGAGAGCTGTTTGAGTAAGGTAGATATGGGTGTGGGGGGTTGAAAAAGCAGACTAGAGGGAAGCAGGCTACTGCAACAGTTAGCAGGTGGGAAGTGGGATGCAAATCAAAAGCCCCAAACTGAAAGGTGCCTGCTGCTGCCCAGAGAGAGGGCAAAGGATGGGAGAGCCCAGGACCCCACCCCATCTGTACCGGCTGCCAAGGGCCACAGACTATGTCAAGCACCCACCTTCCCTGCAGCTTGCTCGGTGGACACCTGAGAGATCGGAGACTTCCAGACGAGTGAGGGAACAGATCGTATGTACTAACAGGTTGCAGCCTGGGAGGTTCCCACAGTGCAGAAACAGGCTTTCTCTGCCCTTGTGCCACTGGCCTCCCCAGTCACCGAGGAGCTCAGGCAGGATGAGGCAGCCTTGAGCTGACACTCCTCCCTCCAACAGTACATCTAACTGGGTTAAGGCCAGGGTTATCATCACCTCCCTTCATCCTCACAGCCTGTATCATCCAAGTTAGAGACTTTCAAAAGTTTTCAGCCTGAGACCCACAGTAAGAAATCCGTTTCACATAAACAACCCACATTATACATTCAACTGCATAACTAAAACAAGGTTTCACATAACTGTAATTGTGATCAGTTATGTTTTCTACCCTCACTCATTAAAATAAAAAATGCTGGCTATAATCCCCACTAAGTTGATTTTATTTCCTACTAATAAATCTCGATCTGCAATTTGAAAAGTACTGCCCCAACACGTCTCCCCATGGCCCCTTGTTACCTCCAAATCGTCCCAGAAACAGCCAGCGTTGTCCTTGCAAAAAAAGCAGATCATATCATTCTCCCGCTCAAAACCCTTCAACTGCCACAGAATAAAATCCAAACTCCTTTTCATGGCCCCAAGGCCCTGTATGATTCTGCCTATGCTTCTACCCACTTGGCCAAGTGCCACTTGCCAGGCCTCCAATGGCCTGTCCCAGGAGCCTGTGTGCTCACCTGTTCCCTCCAAGTCCTTCTGTGGCTGGCTCTTTTTCATCCACTGTCACCAGGCAGCCACCGCCACTGCCCCCTCCAAGAAGTGACAGGCTCCCTGACGATCCATCTTACAGAGGCCCCCCCTCAAGTCACTCCCCACTCACCACATCGGTGTTTTTATTTCCTTCACATGGTTCTTAGCACAATCTGGACTTAGCTAGTTCATTTGCAAATGTGCTGTTTGTTTTCTGCACTAGAACATAAGTTCCATGGGGACCTGCAGTTCCCTCAACCGCAATGTGGAGATGACTGTGTTTACTTCAAGTTGTTACGTGGTATATAGTTCATTCCTACTATTCTTCCAATACCTAGAACAGTGCCTAGAATGAAGCAGACACTCAAAATCGTACAAAGAATAACTCAGTGAATGAGTGTGTGAAATCTGGCAGTTACACACCCTTTACCCAGTGAGCCTAATTCAGCCCATCTAGAGACTGCTGGTCTCATGGACACTTGAGAACAGACAGAGCCTGTGGCCCAGGCAGGAACAGACCTCCCTGCCACCACAAACCAAGCCTCCCCAGCAGCAGTGCTGACCTGTAAGCACCTTGGCCCCACCAGGGTGTCCTGTGAGCAGACTCTGTGGCAGTGGCTCCATGGCCTTGGACACAGGGAATTTGCCCAGGGAGGGTGGAGGACTAGGACACTAGGTGGAGCTAAGGAAGGTTCCAGGGCAGAGGAGGTACCTGAAGGCCATGGTTGGGTGCATCCATGCTGCACCCAGAAATCTAACGTGTCAGCCAATTAGAAATGCTGAGGCAACTCCAAGTAATCTCCAGGAACTGAAGGGAGAGGGGGAGAGGGCCCCAGGGCAAACAGTCTCAAGGCCTGGACTCTAACTGGCTGTGTGCCCCTTGGACTAGGCATCGCCCCTCTCTGGGTCACCTCAGTTTACATCTCTGTTAAAGGAAGAGTTGGCCTAGAGGACAAGAATTAACCCTTAACTGAGCATCAGACCTTCTCTAAGGACTTCATAGACATTCTCATTTAATCTCTTCAAGAGCCCTATAAACTAACATTTATTTTCCCCAAGTAAGAAATGAAGAAACTGAGATTCAGAGAGTAAGCAATTTGCCCAAGGTCACAGCGCTAGAGGACAGTCAGAAGAGACGTGGGTCTAGTTGATGTCAAAGATCTTTCTTCTTAAACACAAGGCAGCACACCATTGCAACAAACCGTGGTATAGCAGGGTGGGTAAAGAGCCTGCACTCTCAAAACAAAACTACACAGGTTCAAGTCCCACCCCTGGGACAATCGAGCTGGAATGCCAGAAAGGGTTGTGTAGTCTTTGGTGTCTTTCCCTGTTTTTCACCCCCTTAAAATGGGGGGTAACACAAGCCACCAACCTCCAACAGAGAGGACTGTGGTGAGGATTAAGAAAGTAATAATGGTAACCTGTGGGAAGCTTAGTTACTGCTGACAACATGTTTTCTTCCAACATTAGAGGGCTTGAGACAACCTCACATCAAACGCTGAACGCTGGGCTTCCTACCGTCTTACCCTATTTAGCCCTCACCACAACCCTACGAGGTAGGAAATTGTTAACCTTAACCCCATTTCACAGATGAAGCAGCTGTGGCGACTGCGAAGCTCTCCCGTTTCTGCCCTCACGCCCAACGATGCTAAAGCCAAGGCAAGAGAGCGACCTTGCTTATTCACTGTTTTACTGGATGTGCTTACTGACAGTTCCTCTTGGCCAGTGGTCAGGACCCCATCCACAGCACACACTTGGCTCTCAATTAACGCGGAACGGGTGCCTGAATAAATGAATGAAGAATTCCGAGCCTGGCCGGGTGGAGGCTGAGCTGCTGAGCTGAGAGGAGGGGGCCCGGGTGGCTTGGGTACCCTCCCTCAGCCCATCAGGGCGGGCCGCTAGGCCCTAGCACTCTGCCAATGGCTTTCGCGTCCCTCGCGGGTGGTCAGGCCCCCTTCTCACGCCCACCGCGCAGCCATCGCTGACACGCCAGCCGGACACCGGGTGCTTTCGCACAGGTGCTCCTGAACGAGGCCCGCCCGGGCCGGCCGGGGCAAGGCGCGGACCCTGAGTCACTCCCAGCGGCCGCCGCCGCGGCTTCCCCGACTCCCGAGCCGGCCGAGGTCTGAGTCCGCGGACGGCTCAATGTCCTGGCGCAGCAGCACTCCCTTCCCGCCCTAGCACCGGGAGGCCCCCAAACCCTGGGCACCGCGCGGCCAGGGCCTCCCCGCCTACGCGGCAGTCCAGCCCAGGCCCACATCAAGAGTGCGGCCCGCCGCAGGCCAGGGCGGGCGCTGCCAACCCTGCGCTCACCTGTCCGCGGGGGCCGCACGCGGGCGGCGGCAACGGCCCAGGTACCCGCGGGCTGCAGAGGCGGCGGCGGCCCGGCTCTCTTCTCAGGCAGCGGCCATGTTACTGGTGGAAAAACTCCAACCGACACGTGGGGGGAGCGGGCCGGGCCTGGCGCTTCCTTTTACCCACAATGCGCCGCCCCGGCGCGCACGAACCCGCCCCCACCGCCACTCCATTCATGCAGGCCGTCATTCCGGCCTGGCAGCAGGGGACGCTGATGCGCCGGCAATACAAAGCCGCCAACAGCGAAAAACAAAGGCAGTAGGGCCAAAAAAGCAACCCTGGCAGCGGTGGGATTCGAACCCACGCCCCCGAAGAGACTGGAGCCTTAATCCAGCGCCTTAGACCGCTCGGCCACGCTACCCGGTTATTAGAAGCTATTTCCAGTAAGTTACTTAATACTTCTACAAGCCATTGTGGAGCATTTTAATAAGGGTTTATTTCACGGGTGTTTCACCAGATGTTGATAAAAGTATTTAGAACATTCATGCATTTAAAAGAAAATATTTGCTCCAATATTTAGACCCACACTTGCTCCAAGTTGGTTTCAGATCTAAAAGTAGTTTAAGAATCTGTATTCTGAGTCAAGTGTTTAGCCCAGAGACAGGTGAACCCACCGAAGTCGGCTTATGTATCTCCCGCAGAAATGATTGATGGATTCAGGCAGTAAAGCGCACTAGGGGCTCCCAAGACCAAACCAGGGAAGCTGGTTTGAGCGGTTTTCTCTGAAGAATTATGTTTTAATTTTTAGTTTCACAATAATACGTGAATTATTGCAAAATATTAAAATTTTATAGAAAGGGTACAAATGCTCTTTTATACCTTTGACCCACATCCTAAGCATCCCCCCACCACCAGAGGTAACCATTTTTGTTAGCGTAGTATATTCTTCTGTATCTTTTGACGTTAATTTATATGGATATATGTATCCATGGAGAATAGAATTTTGTTTTTATTGTGTACGGGTTTTTTCATAAATATTATTATACTATTAGTGTTGATGTGCAGTTGACTGTTTTTTCACCCAATTATGTTTTTTAAATATCTTCCCATATTGATGTTTATAGATATTTTAAAATACAGAAAAGTACAAATTAAAAATAATTGTCCATATTCCCACTACCCAATATGGCATTTCACTTCCAATTCTTTTCCTATGTATGCATTTTGTTACTCAGGTATGATATGTTGTCCTTTAAAAAATCCGTTTAAAAATAAATTAGACCACTACAAATAAAAGTAATTAGACCATTACAAGTAAAAATAAAGCCCCCTTCCCAAAATATCCTCTCCTTACTATCACTATTATCATGAATTTGATATGTATCCTTCCATTTCTTGTACTTTCACATACACACACCCATATATATATATATATGAACAGTAAGTAGAATGGTCGGTCTTCTGTATGTTTTCCATTTACATAAACATTACTACACTGTGCCAACATCATTCTGCCATGTGCTTTTCTCCTCCAACATTATGTTCTTGAGGTCTATTATGACATGTATAGATTTAGTTTATCTCATACTATGAATATGGACTTTTAAGTTGGTATATTCAACTTTCTAGTTAGTATACATTTGGGACACACCCTGACATTTGGACATTCCCCATTTCTCTTCATTTCCTCCTTAACTTAGTTTCTTTCTCCATTTATCTTTAACATAATTATTGATATACAAAGATTTCATTGTATCAAGAAAGTTGGTTGCTTTTAAAGGAGTTTTTTGTTTTGTGGTTTTTTAAGTACAGAAGCAACCGTCTATTTAGGGAACAGGCCAGGCATTATGGGGGATTCAAAGCTGAATGAGGAATAGTCTTTTGAGATCAATAGAAGCATTGAGCTAGTCAGGGTGTTTTAGTATTAAGAGGGACTGTATTTGCTTCTAAATTGTGTGTGGGCTTTCTGAAAGGCAATATCTCCATGGAGAAGGACAATTGCCGGAATCTCCACCTAATCACACTTTCTAGGAATAGCCTGACCTGCCAGGAGAGGGGGGCCCTGCCAGCCACCTTTGTGCTGTGCATCCCCACCCCGACCCCAGCTATGGTAGCTACAGGCTCAGGGCCGACCAGTCACGTTCTCTTTTGAGAATCTGAACCGAGACGAGGTGAGTTCCTAATTTGTTAAATCTGACTGTTTTAAGTGTTGGAGTTAGTCTCTGAGAGTGCTTGTAACTACGGAGAGTTACGGGGGCTTTGCGGTTGCCATATTCTGTAAATGGGTTAGAGAAGTAGAGAAAGCCAGTGTGTGGAGAAAGAAGGAATGACAAAATGAGAACAGCAGAGAGGTATAGAGAAGTCCTGATGATTTTCTGGCTCCCAGGTCCAGACAAGGCCCTTCCCAGAGTCTCGTGGGATACACTGAAAGGGTATCTCGCCGCGACCCTCCTTACCAAGAATGACTCAGGAGACACGGGCCCACGCAAGAGACTTTATTATCTGAAGGAGAGAGTGGCTTCCCCAGAGGAGGGTGGGGAGAGAGAAGGGGGGAGCAGAGAGCAGTGGGACAGAGAGAGGAGAGAGAGAGAGAGAGAGAGAGAGAAGGGAGAACAGGGGGACAGAGAGACAGAGACAAAGAGACAGAAACAGAGAGAGCAGCGAGACAGATGGACACACAGACACACAGAGAAAGAGAGAGAGAGTAGCAGAGAGAGAAAAAGAGAGGGAAGCAGCGTGGTGCCTTTTATTGTGGCGGATCCGCTCGGCCTGTTGCTTTGGGGGAGGGTTGGGATGTTTAGAGATAAGGGGGGGTGGGTAAGCCCAGCAAGCCCCAAGCAAGCCCAGGCATAATTCTCACTGGCTTATGTGCTTGGGACCATGGGGTAAATGGAGTATAAATTACTATATTCTTACATACACACTCTTGGAGACATTCTTTTGTCATAGTAGTAAATTCCCCTTTTCTGCTAAAGCTGGTGCTACCCGGTGTCTGTCAGTTGTAACCATTAACCCCACCCCCTTGTATGGTAATGAGACAGGGACCATGGGCTTAGTCAGAGTAGGGTGAGGGCCTCCGGAGAAAAAGCAGAGCAAGATAATTACAGTCAGAACAATTAACAATATGCAAAGAAGTCCCTGTCAAAACTCTGTGTTAAACATTATGCAAACTCAGAGTCACACTAATTCTCTAGGGTAAAGATTTGTATACATGACTAGGAATACAGACATTCTAAAGTAAAATCACTTAAAACTCAAAAGGCCAGGAGCAACTTGGCCTGGAATGTTTGAGTGTTCTGCAGATAAAGAACGGTATCTCAGCACAAACCATCACTTTATTGTATCAATTACATCATGACAATGTAAAATTTACTTTATCCTGCTAAAAGGCCCAGTTTCTTTTAATTGTAACTATGTGCTATTTTCCCTTCTCTAATCGTAATCTGCAACCTAGGCAAAAGACTACTTTGGTAAGCAATCTCAACTATAAACAACCCAAGCAAACAGACAACAGCCCAGCCCACCTTTAGGGCAGGGCAGGCGGTCTTACAAGTCTGCACTCCTAACCCTTTACTCTCATTCCTGAAAAATCTTCAACCGTGCATAAAACCCCTAGACAATGAGCCAATCACGGACTCTCTTGGCCCCTCCTGGCGTGATCCGGGAGCTCTGTCCTCTCACTTTATCTCTAAATAAAAGCCTGTACCTTGCTCTCCTACCTTTGAGTGTTTGTGAAGCTCATTCTTCGGCTTCGTGAACAAGAACCCCGGCATCACAAAGAGCTCAAATGAAGCTAGCGGTATTTCTACTGGAACACTCTGGAGCAATTCAGATCTGTCCTACTAACACATGCCGTATGGGATACTACATGGCAGCCTGCGGGGATGCGGGCTGATCCTGGAAGGTAGAGCGCAGAGCCTCTTTTTGGGGGTTTCTTCCAGTCTTGCAGTCCCATTTCACTGCTGTCTCTGACACATTCTTCACTCCCTTTGTCCTCCATAAAAGAAAAAATGATCCCAAATCCCAACTTTTCTGTATGAACCTCCTGGGAAGAAACTAACGTTCCTAATAAAATGCTTAAGCATTCTTCTTATGCAATTTAATAGCATTGAGATTTGTACTGGTGAGACAGGGACCATGGATGTAGTCAGAGTAGGGTGAGGGCCTCTGGAGGGGGCAGGGTGGGATATTTGCAGTCAGAGCAATGTAACTACATGCAAAGAAACCCCCCCTGCTAAAATTTCATGTTAAACATTGAGCTCTAAATCATTCTTCAGTGAAATCAGTTAATGTTCCCCAGATAAAGAAGAGTAGCACATGTTTTATTATGCTAATCATTTGTAACCACGTGTAAGATTCACTTTAGCATGCTAAAAGGCTCAGACCTATGTGCTATCTTTCCTCCTTCACATATGACAAGGTGATTCTGCAAACTGAGCAACTAACTCAGCATGCAGACCCAGCTGTAGACGGCATGGTAAAAGGCAGGAAGAATTCCATCTTAAGGTTAAGATTGCATTTTAACACCCAGGAAGTTCAAGAGGCAGGATTCTTTAGCAAGTAGACAATACCTCGGCCCACCTTGGGGGCTGGGCAGGCAGCCTTTTGATGTGCTCCCAGACCCAGGCGCCAGTGTTCCAGAGAGAAATCAAGGCAGGAAATTCCTTACATTAAGTTAATTTTTAATATTCAGGGACCACTTAACAAGTCCACACCTCTAAGTTTTTTCATGTTCTCGAAAAATCCTCAACTGCCTATAAAACCCCCTAGACAATGCACCACTACGGACTCTCTTGTCCCCTCCTGGCGTGAGCCGGGAGCTCTGTCCTTTCACTTTATCTCTAAATAAAAGCCTGTACCTTGCTCTCCTACCTTGACTGTTTGTGAAGCTCATTCTTCGGCTCCGCAAACAAGAACCCTGGCATCACTGGGAAACGTTTCTACCCACCCAGGTGACTGTCCGTTGTGTTAGTGAAGAGCGTAGTAAACTTTAACCGAATATTCTTTTTCATCACCCTCTTGTTCTATAAAATGTCCCTACCAAGATAGTGGGATAGAGGGTGTATTACCTGGCAGGAGGCTGGAGGGAGCTTTCTGGGGCGGTACAAATGTTCGAAAATTCATTAAGCTGTACACTTAAGAGGGTGCAGTTTACTCTATGTAGGTGATACTGTA